TTTCAAATTTATAACCTTAGGGAGCCCTAACTGGAAGGCTGGAAGCTCACCTTCTTGAGAGAAATAAGGATCCATGAAGTATTAATAATTGGGCTATTTCTGCTCAAAAAGGAATGAGCAACACGTCTGCGCTCACCAAATTTTGGTGTGAATTTGGAATGTGGAAAAGAATTAGGGATATGGAAAAATATGGAAAAAATAATTTGGAGAGAAAATGTTGAAATCTTTGGGCAATACAATAGTAAAAAGGTCATGTGGTCATATTGGGTTAAAATAATTGTTTCAGGCAAATTCTTATCTTTATATTAAAAGGGTCCCTAAAGAAGGAAAATATAAGAGTATGTTCTGAAATGAAAACTTTGGAACTGTCACATGAATGGGCTTAGGAGTGAATCAAGAGAATAACATTTTTCTTAAATGGATATTACTGACTTATTTTTGGAGGATAAATCAGGTGAGAAAAATGGTAAAAGTTTTATGTATTTAAGATTTACCTGGCTGGCTTGTTAAAACTCACAATCCTGTATTCTCCTCCAAGAAATTCTGATTTTTTAAAAAGAATTTTTCTACTAATGCATTATTGTCATTTGGACCAGATAATTCTTTATTGGGAAGATCATTGTAGGTTGCTATCTCTCTTTATTGCAGGTACATAGATACGTAAAGACACAGATGCCTACTCTCTCAAAGCAACACTTTGCTTTACAGTAAAATATTACCAGTTTAGAGAAAGAGTAGCCTGCATTTATGGAAAATCTGAAGGATAAAATAGTTTAGAAACTCTTGGGAAATGGTGATTCCCCTCCCCCCCTCCGCAATCGACTACAAATCAAATCCAGGTCATAATGAATAGCATCAGTGCTCTCTCTCTGTCATACTGGGTCACAAAATCACAGATATGGAATGTGTGTGTCCTAGGAGAAAATAACTTGAGAAATGACCCCTAATCCACAGGCACAAAAGGAGAGGAAAAGAAAGTAGAATCACAGTTCTGAGAAAGACCAAGACAAAACTTTGCCAGAGACATGTCTATCCTTGCTTGGGTTGGTTTTCCTCAGAGAATGCCATCTTCTCAATTCTTTACCTATACTTAGAATCTTTAAAAAAAAAACCACCACTCTAGTATTACCACTTCCATAAAGATCTTATGACTCTTCCTGGCTCCAATCCTGCCTTTCCTTCTCAGAAACCCTGTGGCATTTATACCTGATTCACATGATCCTGTTCTTTCTTATATACTTTTTATAGGCTTTTGGTGGGTTCATCTCTCCAATAGTAAAATGACATCAGAGACACAGTAGCAATTGCAAAAATATTTGTGAATGATATACTAAGTTTTATGCTTTTTGGGTAGAAATTACAGAATTGCAAAATATTTATTGAAAAGAAGAGAATCGTCACAAAAAGTTCTTTGAGGTACTACCATGTCCTCCTTTGTTCAGATCTCCCTATGCTGCATAATAATGACTTTTTCATCCTGAGGTTGGGGAGGAGAGGAGAGAGTGATGAAAGCTACAGTGCTGGAGGGTATTAAAAATTCTGGTGAGAGAGCACCCTGGATGTCTAACCAACTTCTATAGCCATGGAGCACAATGAAGTTTACCATTTGTATAGGAATCTTTTAGTTCTTGGATGGAAAAAAATTTTCTTTCCTGTAAAACTTCATGGAATTTTCTGCTTCTGGCAGGGGTAACAGTTATTCATGTGGCTCTTGAAATCTTGTGACACAGTTGTCCAAATGGGCACTGAATAAAGTGAGAAAACTCTCCACTACATATTTTAAGATGATTTTTGGTTCCAGGTGAGGGACTGGGCAGGCTGAGACTGGCATTTGACAAATCTAACCTTTTGCTTAGACCCAGGGGATTATTTTTGATCTAAAAACCATATTCTCCAAACATATTCAAATCCAAGACCTTAGTTCATCTTCTGAATGGACACACTTTCTACCCACATCTCTGTTTTAGTCCATGATAGGTTCAGTGTTTAATCTGAACTTTGTAAAGGGCCTGGACTGGGACTGGAATCTTATATTTGCATATGTCTGTTTCCCTTGGAGGATGTGGCTATCTTTCACCCAAGTTACTTGAGCTACACTTCTACTTCCAGCTTTTTGTTGGTTAAGTGGAGATAAGAGTCTCATGGGACTTTTCTGCCCAGGCTAGCAGCTAACTTTCAACACAATACATAACTTATTTTCATGATACTATTCACTGTCTACCCTCATCCCCAATCTCCTAAGATTTCTGTTTTGTTGTCTAATGTTAACCAAGCACCCAGGAGGGTACCTAGCATGCGATCAATGAATAATTGTTGAGTATGAATATTTGTGAATGAATGGCCTTGGATCTCAAGTCTTTGAGTGGTTATTACAATTTTGTTGTGTAATTTAGAGTACTAATAAAGCATTCTGAATGAAAATGGAATAGTATAGAATATATTATAACATGCCTTTAATCAAGGACTGATTATACACAAATCTTGTGACATGTAATCAGATAAGGACAATATCAAATGTAAGTAGAGACTAGGTGAGTGATCTGGGAAAATGCAGTGGGATTTCATTAAGAATTCTTTTAGTTGGGCTAAAGTGGCTCATGCTTGTAATTCTAGTTACTGAGATCTGAGGACCATGGTTTGAAGCCAGCCTGGGCTGAAAAATATGAAATTCTCATCTTCAATTAACCATCAGAAAACCAGAAGTGGCCCGGTGGCTCTAAGTGGTAGAGAGCTAGCCTTGAGCAAAACAGCTTAGGGACAGCGCCCAGGCCCTGAGTTCAAGCCCTATGCCTGACAAGAAAACAAATTCTTTTAATTTTGCAATACATTTGTAAGAGTACTTTTTTTTGAGACAGATTTACATTTGTAAGTTTGACTGGGCCATGATGGTACATGACGATAAACTCAATTACTTGGGAGGCAGAGATAGATGGAAAGAGGTCTGAGGCTGATCTGAGAAAAATCAGAGGTCCCTATTTGAGAAGCAAATTGAAAACAAAATGACTAGAGCAATGGCTCAAGTGACAGAGCACAAGTACAAGGCACTGAGTTCAATCCCTAGTCTGCCAAAAGAAAATGTGTGTGTGTGTGTGTGTGTGTATGTATTTGCCATATAACTCATTTGGTCCTAAGATGTTCTCCTTTACCACTTTCCCTATCCCTGTAGTCTCAAGGGCAATAATGATTTCTCTGTGGTATGATCAGACATAATGAGAAATACAGGTCTGCACTGTTGGGTCACTAAAAAAAAACTGGGAGGATCAGGAATGGAGTTATTTGATTTGGGGATATTTTAATCATTTCCCGAAGGCTGGCAGGTTGTGATAGAGTCACTTTCCAAAAGAATCTGGCAAAATACCCTTGAAGAAATTTCATTCTGCATACTGTTCTCAAAACTGGAATCCCACTCAGGCACCCAGGATGAAGAGTTGATCAGATGTCGGAGACATGAGCATTTTTCACTCGTGGCACTTCCTAGTGATAACTGTACAGTATGTTTTTGGTTAAAATTAAACTTTTCTATCATTAGTTTACTAGCTTTCAAGACAATTAGTTTGCCACAAACACAGGATGACAGTCTTGTCCATGGTGAAGTCTAACTTCCTGTGCATTTGTAAGATAAAACTCATTTTTACCTCATCTGGCTTCAGGATGTGGCTGCAGTTTCTTGTCCCCACCAGTGTTGATAGTAAGGACAAGATTCTAGTTACTGAGGGGTTCTATCAACATGCCTTCCAAAAGCCAACCATGAAGTGACCATTACAAGTACTTAAACTGATCCTCAGTCTAAACATCTTAGTTATTAGAACAATCTAATAGAATTCATTCACTTAAAGAAATTCAATATTCAGACGAGGGTTGCTTTGGAAATGCTCATGAGGCAGTGTTCCTTACATGAGCTAACTGAGCTCTGACTGCCTGGCAGAGGGCTGGGCTGTGACACACTGATCATAGATAGGAGCAAGTTCTGAGGCTAAAGAGTTTCCAGGCAAGACTGGATGCTACCACCTTTCCCAGGAGGCACCCAAACCAACAAAGCTCATGCTAGAGACTTTGCTTCAATGAGTCTGGCTTGAGAAGAGGGCATCATTAAAAATAATTCTCCAGGAAGGTGATGTTTTTAAGTTAAATAAGCTAGTCTGACAGAGGCAAGAATCTCTCACTTAAGGAAACCAGGAGAAAAAAATAAAACAAGGTCATGGAAATAAAGGGGAATTATGGGAGATATGGAAGAGAAAACTTGGGAAAAGGAGTAACAGAGCACAATGGAGGGGTGAATATGACCAAACTACATTGAATGCATGTATGGAAATGTCACGATAAAATCCATTACTGTGTACCATTATTATACATCAATAAAAGTAAATAAAGGCTCTCCAGGTGATTTTATGTGTAGCCAGAAGTGAAGCCGCTTGACACAATGGATCAGAGAAGGGATCCAGAGCAGCTGGCGGGGGAAAATAGTCCTCCCTTCTGCTTTACCACTCCTAATGCCAGTACCCTTCCCCTACTATCCCTCTCTCCCGCTTCATCAGATTTCCATTCTCCCTGGATTATTTCCACAATCACACAAACAAGTTTCCATTTTTCCTGTCCTTAAGAAATCCTCTATCAATTCCCCATCTTCCTCTAACCAGTGCCCATTTTCCTGCTTTCCTTTAGAGAAAAACTTTTTAAGACCTATTGACCCATTCCATTCTCTCAGCCAGCCCATCTTACCATATGGGCAGGCTGTATGTCAGAGCTCCTCTTTAACGCCAGAAAAGGGGGTATTGGAAACAGGCATCGTCTAATGGAGCACTGGCCATAGTCATGCTGACAACATTCCACATTCAGCACACCCTAATACAGCCTATGTCTGACCTTTCAGTGCTGTAGTCAAAGCTCAAGTGAATAAAATAAAGGTCTAGAAACTTTGGAGAAAAAGACTGGTGTTTAAGAACATTATTGACAATGATAATGACGATGAAGTCTTTAGTGCAGGGGCGGATGTGACTTACACAGTGTGTGGTGGTGATGATGACAGAACTGGAGATGAAAGAGAGGCCATCGTTCATGCTGACCTGGAGAGCAGCTTTCCTGAAATGACAAGGCAACCAGAGATACTTAGCGTGGTGTACAGTGGGCATGGACAGAGAGCCAGATATACAGGTCTCCTTTGGGCTCTGATCCTAACAACCCTGGGGACTGCAATGTCCTTCCTGTGGGATTGGGGCTTATTCTAGAAAAATCTGGAGGATGTTCTTCCTGGCCTGTATTTCTTAAACATTCTAGAGAAACGTTAGATGTGCTTGGCTGGTGTGTCAAGGCCGGGCGTTCAGAACTCCTCGTGTGGCAGCATATTGCATTTGAGTCACAAACTCTACTTCTGTTTCACTTACTTGCCACACTTTGTAGGACAAAGCAAGCCTAAAAAGTAGTTCAATGTTAGGGACCAGTGGCTCATACCTGTAAGATACAAGTTTTGCTAATCGAGGAGCAAAGCCAGCCTGGAGACTCTTATCTCTAATCAGTCTGAAGAAAGCTGGAAGTAGAAATGTAGCTCAAGAGCTTGAGGCCCTGAGTTCAAGCATCACTATCAACACACACACACACACACACACACACACACACACACACACACACACACACACACACTAGTCTAAGTTAATGGGATAAAGTGGGTGTCTGGTTATTTTTAGAGGTACAGCAATAGATGTACCAGCTCTCCTTCTATCCCTTTTCATCTATAAGAACTCACTGAAATATGAGCTCCCATATTGTTACATTTCCCACAAAGACACTGGGCTAGTTCATGGAATCACAGGTCAATGTCAGGTACCTAGAGAGGATGGTCTTACAGTGAGAGTGAATAACTAAAAGCAGGATTTAACAAACAATTTTAACTGTTTCTCCTAAAAGCCCCAACCCTCTTGAGCCTGTTAGACTTCATTCTGGAGCAGGTTTTTCAGACTCCACACCATACTATCTCTTTGTATCCCTAGATAATTCTTCTCTAGCTCAAGGTGCAAATTATTTTTTCTTTTCTTTTCTATTTGTTGGTCATAGACCTTGAACTCAAGGCCTGGGCGTTGTCCCTGAGCTCTTTTCTCAAGGCTAGCACTCTACCATTTTGAGCCATAGCGCCACTTCTGATCTTCTGGTGGTTAATTGGTGATGAGTCTCATGGATTTTCCTGCCGTGGCTGTGATCCTCAGATCTCAGCCTCCTGAGTAGCAGGATCATTTATTTTCCTATTGAGTATTTTTACCATATCAGATGGGCAGTTATTATAAGGCCACCACTGGGAGATAGTTCCCATAAATGAGTTCAGAGAATCTTGTGGAGGAGTGAGGAAGATGGACTGCAGCTATGAATGTGCGTTCTTAGCCTTCACCAAGTAGTAAAGATCCTCCTTCATCATTCTTAGTTTTCCTCTCTCCAGGAAGGAGATAACATTCATTTATCAGGGTATCGATGATACCAGGATGAGGAAACATGGGAGAACATTCTAGAAACATAGCTGGTATTAAGTCAGACAGAACTTGGGTTGAGCTCTGGTTCTTCCACTGACTGCTGCATGCCCCTGAGTAGGTGACCTAAATTCTCAGCCCTTCTTACCTCTGTTGAATGGGGATGTCTGGTTCATGGGAAGGGGAGAGATGAATGGATACTCTGTAAAATATTATTGAGGTGCCTAGCTCGCTGTAGGCACTGGTACCATCATGACTGAAGAGAATGTTCATGGTGATACTTTTTGCCCCCTCTACCTCTTCTCTCCTTCCTGGCTATGAGGCTCAGTTGCTGGTGAAAACTTACATGCCAACTTCTTTTAAGATGGGTGCTGGGCAGAGCAAATAGGTGTCTTCCACAGCGAAGGGCTTCTCATCTGTAAAGAAGAAGTACTGGGTTAAGAGGACTGAGGCAAAGTTATAATTCCAAATTCTGTGACTTTTAAAAGACCTTCAGTGAAGTTTAGGGAGACAAAAACCAAGAGCTTTTTAAAATAAAAACTCATGTACCATAATATCCATTAGCAGTGAACTCAAGCCTGAATATTAGTTTCCTGAGCTTCTATGTCCATTGCAGTCAACCACTGAGGAACTAGAGTTTCTTACATTACATCATGAGCCTCCTTTCTTCTCAGGAATAACTGAGAGGAACTAAGAAAACATTCAATTGGTCCTAAGGAGCTTCATAGCCATATCAGTGGCAAAGGCAAGAAGTGGCAACACCAAAAGGGCTTCAGGAGACAAAGGGCTTCTTTTACAAGGGCGACATGATCACATCCTAGGGAAATCTGCAAGAGTTGTGCTTTAGTGGAAAGCTGGGAAAAAGGCATTCCTGGGAGGGAATGCAAAGACAGGGTAGCAAAGGTGTCTCAACATAGGAAGTGGGCAGGACTTTAAAAGAGCAGCACAGAACAAAGTAGGGCCCAAGTTTTTTTCTCTGAATCGGTCCAGGGATTACAGGGGGATCGGCAGAGTTTTATAGCCATGGAAAGAAATGCGGAAGATTTCTGCGCAAAACTGAAATGATGCAGTTGGAGGATTTGGCAGATGTAGTCATGGGAGATGGATGACAGTGGTGTAGTCCTAAGAAGTAGTGAAGTTCTTGCTCCTTTTCTGATGGACATCTAGGAAAAAGCTTAAATTCATTGTAACCAGGGTCTGGGCCCAGAAAAGCCTGTGTACTCAGTAGATAAAGAGTCATCCCTTCATGCCTCATTGCTTATTGGATATGTAAAGAAGATTGTGGTAGGCCCCACTGAAGAAATGAGGATGAGCAATATTTCTCCTTCAGTCAAACCATCACCACTAGTACCACTGAGAACTAAAAGGTACAAAGGGATACAAATACGTTTGAAAGATTCTATTCTGTTATCAGTCTTCGCTGTGAAATCAATGCCTCCTGTGACATGTGCCAGTCATGACTGCAGAGAATACAGTTGACATTAAATGCTTGCCTGAGCGGAGATTAGGAAGCCCTGTGTCCTCTATGGCTGGAATTATGGGGCTCTGCTACTTGGGATGGGAATAAAGGACCTATCTACTTGCTAAGCACTGTGCTTAGTGCTTACTGAAAAAGAAGAGAGAAGATTGCTGCTTTGGGAAATCCTGGTGAAAACTTAAAGAAGGGTATTTCCAAGTCATTTTTTCATTTATTCATAGATTCAACTAATATTCACTGAAGATTTACTATGGGCTGGTGATAAAGGCTTCAAAAATAGAAACTTCCTGCTTTCATGAGTTTTACAGGAGCTACAGGAAAGAGTTATTCTCTCCCTTCCCTCACATATATAAAATTTAAGTGTTTTCCATGGGCCAAGAACTGTGCTAGGTATTACAATGAATATGAGATAAAGCCTCTTGTCCATGGAGTTGCCATGCTAGCAATCACACATATTATAACTGTGATGCACACACATACCAGAAGAGAGGCTACTCTTCATCTGGGAAGTCAGGAAATACTTCCACAAGGAAAGGCTACTTAAGCTGAAACCCAAAGGCCAGGTGAGGAGAGGATATATACACCCTGGGGTATGAAGGAGGCCAGATCTCATGAGAAGTAGAAGGCCAATGAAGCAGATGATCAAAATGATACCAGAAAAGTCAGCAAGAATGGATGATGGCTGTGGAGGACAAAATAAGGCTTTCTGGGATTGTACTTAAAAGCAGCAGGGTGCTATTGGAACTTTCCCCTGTTTTGAGCACCAGTTGCTGGCAGATTATGGAATATGCAGGAATGGAGAGGGTATGTGGTGTAAAGTTATGACACTTATGATGATAGTAGAGGATCACCCAGAGCCTGAAGCCATTATTACTGAAGCATTGTAACTTTCAAGATGCCTTTCCATCTATGGTAAGGATGGCAGCCAGCCTCACCTGGGCATGCAATGTGGGCGCTCTCCAAGCACTTCATTTAGTTAAATTTAATCTGGCAGGGTTGTCAAGAGGGACAACATTCTTTTCTTGGGTCTGCATCAGGCATTCTGGCAGCAGTTTGCCAGCTAATAACCTGTCTTTCAATTCAGTAGCACCAGCACTCTCTTTCCTCCTGAGTACCTTTTGAGCACAGGCAGGGTAGGAATCATCAGGCTCTTCTTTTTTTCAGATGCCAAACAGAGGTTCCAAACAGTGATCTCTGGTTGCAGAGCAAGTTAAGAGGCAAGCCAGGATTATAAATGAATGCTGCATTATTCTTTCCTGGTTAAGAGACTCAGCATTCCAGGAGAGGCTTGTATCAGGGGAGAAATCAAACTTGAGACAGGCAGGGTTGACTAGCACTTCTATTTGCCTATCCCATTGCACACAAACTAGTAGTACCTGGGGATACACAGCTTTCTGCCCACAGAGCCCTGGGAAGCCACACAGCAGGCCCAAGAGGCTTCTTGACTCCATCTGGTGGGAAGAGCTGTGTCACAATGAGAAGGGCATTTGAGGTGGCACAGAGCAGCAATGCAGCCAGGGCAAATGCAGAGGCTACATGCCCATATTCCCATTAGTGCTTGAGCTCACTCACTTGCAAGCTCCCTCCTCCAGTGCCTGTCTCCTTCCCTCCTGCTAACTGGAAAGGAGTGGGAAGGACAGTGGGTATGGCCTCGTCAAGCAGCCATTTCTCACTGTCTCCCTTTTCATTTTCCTTTCCTACACATTTCTGGGACAAAGCAGAGGAGCACCTCACTGGGAGGACAGAAAGCTTTGGCCACAGATACAGGACAGTTCTGACACTTCCTTCAGTTACTTTGTTTGAGGCTGTGGGCCTGCTCTGTGAGCTGGCATTTTCTGCCCTGAGAGGGATTGTTTGGTTTGGAGCCTGTTTTCACTTTACCACAAAAATGAGTGGCTTTTCTTTTCTCTCTTTCTAAACAAAAGAGGGCCATTTGGTTTCTATAACTCACATCATCTGACTCCTTCCTGGAATATCCATTTGGGAAGGAGGATACAAAAAGCTTCTTCATCGGGCCCTCCATGACTGGCTCTCAGGCTATGCCAGCCTCACAATAATCTCCACCAAAAACTAGGGTGTTGTGCTGTTTATGGGGCTGTAATCTACTGAGAGTACAATGAAATCTCTGCCTCTGCCTACTGGGTGGCCATTTCACCGCTCATTAGTACTGAGTTGCCAACAGAAATGGAGACCAGGAGCTTGGACTAACCTTCCTGACTTTTGTTTTCAACTGAGTGGAAAACTAGGAAGGTGTGGGAGTGAAAGACCAGAAATTAAATGAAATTTGGGAATGATCTTGACATAGAAATTCTCTTGAATTCTCAAAGCTATTTCAGAATTCTGTGCTACTCTGAGTTAGGCTAACCTCAAGCATTTGTTGAGAGGAAACAGAAATGTAGGGCACAGAGAAGGACTGAGGAAACTCTGAGGCCTGAAAAGTCCAGGTTCAAGTCCCAAGTTTTGCTCTTACTGGTGGGTGACTGGAGTCAAGTTTATCTGTAAATGGTGATGACATTACTGCAGAGAGTTTTGTATGAGTAAATAAGCATGGTACTTCATGTTAATAAGGGTTTAGGAAATACTTCACTTGATTATATGGCACCAATTTATTTAAATAGACAATATAATTTGTGCTTTAAAACAAAAGAATTGAAGATCACAATTTTCAAAATGTCTAATTGCTAAATGACATCATTCTACTAAAGTAACATTGTTTTAGACATCAGGAATTCCTCAGAAAATAAAAGGCTTAAGAGAATTTGTGTGTGCATAGACATACATACACACACACACACACACACACACACACACACACACACACGTACTGATTGTGTTTAACATTATATAGCCATGATCTCCATGATCTGCTTGATGCTTTGATGATCCTGTGAGAGATATTATTACTTGTAGTTTGAGAAACTGAGGCTCAGAGATATGAGTTCATTAGTGCTACTGGCTTGCTCAAGATCAGTCTACCTAGTCTTTTTTGTTTTATGTTTTTCCTGGTGGTATGAGGTTTGAACTTAGGGTTTTGACTTGCCATACAGGTGCTCTACCACTTGAGTTATGCTCCCTTTGCTGTAGGATCTCTTGCTCATCCCCAGGCCAACCTGGACTGAAATCTTCCCAATTCCTGCATTCTCAGGACCTAGGATTATAGGCATGAGTAATCATTCCTGGGCCTTGCTAGTTGGGCCTAGAGGTAACCATAAGTAGTACAAAAATGGAAGTGCTTCACACCACCCATGTTGGAGATGAATGGTCAACAGACTTTCAATGGGCAAAAATGGATGCCAGCAGAAGGCATGCCTTCTAGGAAAGAGGTCTGGGGTTGAAGAACTCTGCAACAAGACTCTGGAGTCTTCTGAGAGGAGTATTCTGATCTAACAGAAATGAACTCATATTCTGAAACTATAATGTAAATGCATACATTTCCATGGTTTTTACCTTGCGACAACATCCCCTTTTTTCAAACTATGAAGAAGGAAGGTCCCAGAATTTCCTCTAATAGTTTGGTGACTAATAGATTTGGGATAAAACCAGGATTAAAATTCATTAGCAAATTCAAACACCAATCAGAGTGAATCCTTCCACAGGGCTGATTAAATCATTTAAATACTTCCCAAGTCTTGGCAATCTTTTCTTGATATAAATATTTATATCTGGCAAAAATGAAAAGAAAAACAACCTCTAGTCTTATCTGGGGGGAGTTTGTTGAATCCTTCCCAAAGCTGATGTATGCCCCAAAGTAGAGAGTTTACATTCCTACTGTAACATTTGCATTAGGTAGTGGGGAAAAAAAACAGTAGAGGTTGTGGACTGAATGAGCTCACCCCACTGTTTTCCCTCATGTTTCCTGAACCTAGGGGGCATTTTCATGGCTGCTTGGAGCCAAGTATAACTGTTCAGCACCAAATTATCTGCTGGTTGAGAATGTGG